GGCTCACACAGCAGCTGGGCCCGCAGGACGCGCCGGCTGCCCGCCTGGCGCCGGGAGAACATCAGCGCGAAGGTGGTGTAGTCGGTGTGGAAGACCTGGACCTGCTCGGGGTCTGGGGGCGCGCGGGTCAGGGCCCCCTCGCGCCGCCCACCAGCCCCGCCTCCCGCGGCCTCACCCCTACTGCCGTCCACGGAGAAGATGCCCGGCCGGGCCTCCGGCGTCAGCACGTAGGACCAGGTGACACAGTGCTGGCCCCTGTGCAGGGGACGGGCAGAGCAGGCTCGGGATCCGACTCCCGCCGGCCTTTCTGGGGTGAGGGCGCTGCCCCAGGCGTGTCCAGGGGGTCCGGCTCTGAAGCTGGCGCCTCCCGCGGGTGCCCCAAGGCCCTGCCCAGGCGGGCCTGCGGCTGGCCGCTGCCGCCCTCCCCCAGCAGGGGGCAGACACTGCCCGGCAGCCGCCCTGCGGGCGCTGAGCTAGGAGGACACGGTGTGGGGAGAGGCCAGGCCCTTGCCGGCTGGGCTGCGGCCCTCGTCCGGAGGGGACCCTGGCGGCCGGTCCTGGAGGGCGGAGCCTGCCCGACTCGGATGGCGGCGCTGAGTGGGGCTCGCCAGGCGGGGGCCCGTGTTGGAGATGCTGGGTGAGCCGTTCCCGATCCCCGTCAGCCCTCGGGCCCCCCAGTCCGTGGCCAGCAGTGCCTGTCCCCTCTGGGCGGACGGGCCCACTCACCGCTTCATGGCGTACACGGCCTCCAGGCGGCCGTCCGCTCTGCTCTCGAAGGCCGCGGTGAAGGGCCTCAGCACAGCCGCGTCCGCCCGCCTGAGGGTGCTGCCCCCCAGGCCCAGCACGTACCATGTCCCCTGGAACTACAGGGCAGCGGCGTGGGCAGAGGCCAGGCTCACCCAGGACGCCCCACGGCCGGGCCCGGCCGGCCTGCGCCCTGGGGCTGGCGGGGACGGGGTGACCCTGGCTTTCGTGGGGACTGCGGGCTTTGCGGGGGAATGGCCGAGCCAGGAGGGTGTTGGGGCCCCTCCGATCGGGGCTCGAGTCTCCAGGTGCGGGCTGGGTGCGAGCAGGCCGGTGGCCGCGGGGCTGGCCGGCGAGCCCTCCCCCGTCCTGCGCTCAGGCCGCCCCCCGACCTGGGCTCCGTCGAAGCTTGACAGGACCGTGCTGACCGTTGATCCTGGCCTGTGGGGCTTGAGGGTCTGACCCTTGAGGGCTGTCAGCAAGGAGAGTGCCACCCACAGGGCCTGGCAAGGCCCCATCTCGCCAGGGAGTGGGCTGCTGACCGTGCAGGCCCAGAGGCGCCCTCTTTATGGGCTCCCCCGGCTGGCCCCCGTGGCCTCCTTGAGCTGAGGGCATGGCTGGGCTGGCTGCCCCACCCTCCTCAGACCCTGCCACCCCGGCGGGGGTCTGGGGCGGGGCCGGCGCGGGCACCTCACCTCCTGGCTCCCCCCGCGCTGGCAGGTGGCCTGTGCTGCTCCCACGCCTGGGACTCCAGGACAGACTGCTCCGTCCAGCGGGAGCCAGGCCGCCGTGTCCTGGACAAGAACACAGAGCACAGGCGCCGCCCGCCCCCGCTGCAACTCAGCCGAAGCCCTGCGGGCAGGAAGGGGCGAGGAGTGGGCGCCCTGCCGCTGCCAGGGGGCGGGGCCGGGGGCTCAGCGGGATCCGGGCTCGCAGCCACGGGAGGAAGGGACTGGGGAGAAAACAGCCCCTCCCCGGGGCAGAGCGCGGGTGCCCGGCGCCAGATGGCCCGGAAGGGCCCGTGCCCGCTGCTGGGGGCCGGAGGCTTCATCACCCAACGTCAGGACGGGAGCCCGGCCGCGGGGCTGTGCCAGGCGGCCCTGGCTCCTCTGAGCTGGCGGCGGGCAGTTCGGGGCCGGGGGGTGTCCGCTGAGCGCCCGGCCTACGCCGCGG